CGAAGACATTAATTATTTTTCAATCCTAAGTAAAATGACGAAAAAAAGTAAGTTTGATTAAGCGTAAACTTCGGCCAAGAGATGGTAAATGTTTTTGCATGCCTTAAGCGGAAGCGCAAGGTATGTTCTACTATCGCCTAAAAATTAAGAATCCAACGTTTTATCGAATAAAATCGTATCTAGCAATCATATTATACATATAAATGATATAAAAAGCACATTGTTAGAAAGATAAATGATTGTTGAACTAATTAATATTTTTTTTTAATCGAGATTTATTTTTAAATAAGAAAGGGGGCTTTAGTGGTTAATGGTGTGGATTTATCATGTCCCCAAGGCTTGTAAACACGATAACTTTTGAAAATATCAATTGTTTAACTCAATCTATATTTTAATCTCTTTATCTATCATGTGGGAAGCCACTGAATGTAAATGGCAGTGTAATTTTGTTTTGTTTAACTATAATTATTTTTTTTCGGCTCCAAAATGGCAAAATTTTCGTTGATTTGGTAGCCTTGCATGTAAGTTATTTCTGAAAATAGGGAGCTACAGCAACAGAGTAGTTTACTCACTCACTCAGTTCGGCGTCAGTCGCCGTCGTGAGTGGACATTGTTTCGGTTGTTTGCAGCGGCTCAAACTGATCGCTGTACAAATACACAATATTCGAATAGATAACCAAATTTCTTAAATACTTGATTATAATAATAAAAAATTTTTTTATAACAATTTTATCCAAGGTGGCGGCTGCAATAGATATCATTTTTTTCATCATGGGTGTCATTCTCATGGTATTCGAGGGTGTTGAAGCCAATAGTGCTGTTGAAATGTAAATCCAGGATGGCGGCTGAATTAGGTACCAATTTTTTCATCATGGGTGTCATTTTCATGGTTTTCGAGGGTGTTGAAGCTAATAGTGCTGTCGAAATGTAAATCAAAGATGGCGGCTGCAATAGATATCAATTTTTCATCATGGGTATCATTCAGATGGTTCTCGCGGATGTTGAAGCCGATAGTGCTGTCGAAATGTAAATCCAAGGTGGCGGCTGCAATTGGTATCAATTTTTTCATCATGGGTGTCATTTTCATAGGTTTCGAGGGTGTTGATGCCGATAGTGCTGTCGAAATGTAAATCCAAGATGGCGGCTGAAGTAGGTACCAATTTATTCATCATGGGTGTCATTTTCATGGTTTTCGAGGGTGTTGAAGCCGATAGTGCTGTCGAAATATATTTAAACTACTTTAAAAAAATCCGTATAATCATGTTATACGTAATTTTTTTAATGCGCTTAAGGCATGCCCAATTGGATATACCAATTTTTTTTAAATTGCTCCGTTACATTGCTGCGTGAAGGAAGGACAAAAAAAAACAAAAATCACACTTTCACATTTATAATAATTATTATATTAGTATGCATGGTCAAGAATGATAGATAAACTTTTGAAACCGGTTTACAATCGGCTTTTTGAGGGTGGAACTATACACTCGCGCTCTCTTTCTCGCTCTAGTAAATAACGGTTTTGAGTGACCAAAAAGGATAGAAGCACAGGAAAGTGCGATTCCGTGCTGCTAGATGTAGTTTAACCCTTAAAACGGTTTAACTCTATAGGTTGGGTAAAATCTGTAAACTTAGACCGTTTAAAACCCCTATACAAATAACCTTTCCGGTTGATCATGTTATTAAAAAATGGTAAAAACATTTCATAGACTAGGCAATACTCGAATTGCGGAATCAGTTACTTTATGTAAAATTAGAATTGTGAAAGCGTCGTTTACGTACCGCTTGTAGAATTTTGGTTTTAAGGAAGAAGTAAGCAGGGGTTTCTCCTCAAACGCTTCCAAGAATATATCAACGTCAATAGGAGATACAGATGACACCAATCCAACACCAACTACTTGCACAATAGGTAGCTAGATAGTAGGGCAGTGTCTGAGTAATACTGTATATTCTAGGGGCATGTAGTTTTCTTCCAGCCTTCTATTTAATGATGTTTTAAACAAAAAAAAAAAACTATTTAAGGCATAATTTTTCTATCAAATTACGCTGCTAACGATATTATAATAATTCTTGCTTATGTTTGACAGTCCACCATAACACAATTATCTCAGTTGTTCTCTATACTTATGTTTAAGAGAAACAGAAATAATAAATTAGCAAGACGAGGACAAGAGTAAGAACTTGGAGTATGTCTTTCTTTTTTTATTAAAACTTGTGACATCGTTCATCCAATACTAATTTTTATACTTTTTAACCGACTACAAAAAAGAGGAGGATCCCAATTCGAGTGTATGTTTTTTTTTTGTATATAATATGTTACGCGATATCATTGCAGGTTCTGAACCGATTTTGATTATTATTCATTCACTAAGTAGGTTTTACCTCGAAAAATTCAGCTCCCAGGGGTGGAAAATAAGGAAAAATTTTCATATTGGTCTATTGCTTAAGGAATTTCATATATCTTCGCAGAACCGATTTTATTGATCCTTTTTTTCATTAAATAGATCATTATATTTCAAGAGTGGCTCCATATAAATTTGGAGAAAAAATTCTACCCCTAAGGGTAGCAAATAAATAACTCCTTTTTTAACAATTTAGTAATAATAATAATAATATAATAAATATATGACGATGTATAATATCAAAGCAGAGTTTCTAAAAATATGTTTAATATATGATCTAAAAATTTCGTAAACTCAGGTGATCAAATTCGTGCCAGCGTAAAGGCTACATATACATTTTTTTTTTATTGGAGAGGGGGCAAACGAGCATGCGGCTCACCTGATGTTAAGTGACTACTGCCGCCCATGAACAACTGCAACACCAGGGAGGGAATTGCAGATGCGTTGCCGGTCTTTTAAAAAGGAGTACGCTCTTTTCTTGAAGGTCCCTAAGTCGTATCGGTCCGGAAAAATCGCTGATGGTAATCGATTCCACAAGGAAGTCGTGCGAGGAAGAAAACATCTTCTAAATCGCACAGTGGTGGACCGCCGATCATCTAGATGGTGTGGATGGTATTGGGAGTTCTGCCGCGATGTGCGTTCGTGAAATTTGGCGGCTGGGATTAATCCGAACAATTCCTCAGAGCACTCCCCATGGTAGATGCAAAAGAAAATGCAAAGGGATGCAACATCTCTACGCAGTGCCAGTGTATCGAGCCAATCAGAAAGAACTCGGTCGTCAACAATGATTTGAACTGCTCTGCGCTGGATGCGGTCAAGTGGAAGGAGATGGCACTGGGGTGCCCCGGCCCAGAGATTAGAATATTTTATTCCATGTGAGGCCGGATTTGCGCTTTGTAAAGTTGCAAGCGATGTGCCGGCATGAAATACTGTCTCGCTCTGCTGAGCACGCCAAGCTATTAAGAGGCCAATTTGGCCTTCCCTTCCAAGTGACCATGAAACTGCACACTATTCGATATGTCGACGCCGAGGATTCCGATGCTAGCTAAGGCCGCAAGTGGAGTGCCTTGAAACTGAGGAGATACGACAAATGGGTTCTATTTAGCGGTAAACGCGCAAATTTGTGTCTTCTGGGGATTGAACTGGACTAGATTGAGTCGTCCCCAATCCGAGACTTTATTCAGCAAAGACTTCTGGCTACTATGACTTCAGGCACAAGTTTATCTCTTTACTCGGCGAAGTTTTCTCGAGAATTATTGGCACGGTCGGTATATAAGGCATCACCAGTGCTGTCGTCTGCATAGCAATTATTGTTACCAGTTTGCAACATATCATTTATATGCAGGAGAAACAGCGTTGGTGATAGCACGCAGCCTTGTGAAGCACCAGCGTTGATAGGCTTGAAATCAGAGCATGCACTGTCTCAGCAAGGAAACTGGTGATCCATTTGCACAATTTCTCGGGAAGCCCAATGGCTGGGATCTGCCTCCGATTGGCATCACAGAGGATGGAATAGAAAATTCCATACCCCAAAGTACCACATCAGTAACAGAATCGGCAAAAACGCTGGGAGAAGCAGACCTGCGTCCAAGGGTAGGATGCATTAAAGACGATATTAAAAACCAAGTTATATTTCTCGTAGTTAGAGTGGAAAATGCATATAGTTCAGTCGCCGAAGGCACAACAAATGACGTTCTGATTACTAACTAGATTGGTTCCATTCCAGCGTTAGTGTTTGCTATCGATACTCAATGCTTATTTAAAAAGTAAATATTTTGTATGTCGTGCAGCAAAGATTTCACCGTGTACCTTTTTAATGAAATGAAAATGACTTTTGTTTTCAGTTACTTATTATACAAATAAACATAATATTATTTTATTTTTTTATAGAAGAGGAGGCAAACGAGCTTGCGGCTCACCTGATGGTAAGTGACTACCGCTGCCCATGAACAACCGCAACACCAGGGGAATTGCAGATGCGTTGCCGGCCTTTTAGAAAGGTGTAAGCTCTTTTCTTGAAGGTTCCTAAGTCGTATCGGTCCAGAAAATTTGCTGGACCGATACGACTTAGGAACTTGTAATTGATTCCACAAGGAAGTTGTGCAAGGGAGAAAACTTCTTCTAAATCGCACAATGGTGGACCGCCAATCATCCAGATGGTAGGGGTGGTAATGCGAGTTTTGTCGCGATGTGCGATAATGAAATTGAGCGGCTGGAATTAGTCCGAACAATTCCTCAGAGCACTCCCCGTGATAGATGCGATAAAATACGCAAAGAGATCCAACAGTCTATAAGTGCGCTCTTGCATAGTCGGACGCTTGTTAAGTTTCGCTATTTTTCCTATAAATAACTACGAAGCAGTTTGCGCTTTATGTTACGTACAATTCCGCTGTAATTGCCTCAAAGTAATTGTAATTAATGTGTTTGAGTGTGGCATACGTCAAGCGCCAATCGTAGCGAACATTGTTCTCGTCCTTGTCTCAAGTGCAATAACTTAACCTGTGTAAAGGGGATAGTGAATAATAATATAACTATCTTCTGTGCATCATTTTTCTGTCGCGTCATTATATTTTTACCTTCTTTCATTTACCGGGGGAAAAAATGAGTGTTTCAAGAACGCCGCCAAGTGGATGTTCCTCATCACATCCAGATTTATCCAAAATACACGATGATGTTCCTACTAATATTGTGCAAAGGAAACGAAAATCACCAGATTGTCACTGTAATTATCAAGAAATACTGTCTGACTTTCAAAATAAAATAATGAGTTCTTTTCAGTCTGTTCTTGAAACCCAAAACGAAAAAATAAATAGCACTTTAAACGCATTACGCGATGACCTATTTATATTTAGACAAGAAATAAGTGAGATAAACGTCACTATTCAAAAACTATCGGAGGAGCAATCGTCAATCAAAAAAGAAGTTGACCAGTTGATATCAAATAATAATATTAATAATCACAAGATAAAATCAATCATGAATGATGCTGAAGAATCACGATCAATTATTAATCATCTTTCTCAACAACTTCGCTTTAAGGAGCAGCAGGGAAGAATAAATAACTTGGAATTATCTGGGATACCTACCGTGAAAGGAGAAAATCTGATGAGTATTGTCCATAAAATAGCAAATAAGATTGGGTTTTCTTTAGCTTCGACGGATATTGATAGCATACACCGTGTGCAGCGTTTTATTCCGAAAAACAAAAAGGACGCAGCTTCGTACAATGGTCAACCCTCACGCGATTTATCTTCAATACCCAATATCATCGTGAGGTTCACGCAAAGACAACGTAAGAGAGAAATGCTTGCTGCTGTGCGCGCCCGGAGAGGTTTAACCACCGCTGATGCTGGATTGGACGGCCCATCCAAACCAATCTTCATAAGTGATCACTTAACACCAGATAATAAACTTTTATATAAGCAAGCTCGGCTTCTCGTCAAAGAAAATAATTACAAGTATATTTGGTTGTCCGAATGTAAGATTATGGTACGTAAAAACGACACTTCTAAAGCCTTACTAGTATCTTGCCAAGCTGATCTTATGAAAATAAAATGACTGCATTTCTTTCCATCTATTGCCCCACTTTTATTATGTTATTATCCCTTTAAAAATAGTTTAAGGTTTATGAGTATGAAAAGAACTTTTGTTATTAGTCCTAAGTGTTTGTATTTATTCCTGCATACTTTTTGTTTTGGTGGAACTCTAATAGGTATCATAATAAAAATACTATACTATAAAATACGATAACATTAACCTTTCTATTTACTATCAAAACGTGAGGGGACTACGCACTAAATCGCACTCTTTTTTAGAAGCTGTTCTTTGTAATAACTATGATGTAATATGTGTAACAGAGTCTTGGCTTAATGATAATTTTCATAACTGTGAGTTTTTTGATAGCCGGTACGAGATATATCGATGCGATCGTAACTTAACTGCTAGCGGACACGGGCGCGGAGGTGGAGTAATAATAGCGGTGCGCCGCGATCTTTGCGCAACGCACCGAACTGACGTGCGCGCGCCACCGCCCGCTGAAGAAGTATGGGTGACGGTGCCGCTTCACATTCACTCTTGTCCCACCACCTTAACTCCTCGCTCCCATAACGCATCTCGCTTCTTGCATATAATATCAACGTATATTGCGCACGGTAATAATCACGAATTGTTGTTGAGTTGTTTTTACGATAGAGTTAGTGACTTTATAATTCGTAATTCTGATGATGTATTTCTAGTACTCGGCGACTTCAACATAAGTTATGCTCATTGGTCTTATAATACATGTACTAATTCCCTAGACATACATACAAATAACAATAGCTTAGCTTGTCTTACAGCTGACTTTATGAGTTTATCCTTATTATCGCAACACAATAATCAACTTAACGTAAACGGCAGGCTTTTAGATTTAGTTTTTAGTAATAAAACTTGTCAAGTATCATCTTGCAAACTTCCACTTGTTACAGAGGATCCTCATCATAAGGCATTAGAAATTGATTTTAAACTAAGCTTTGCTCCTACACTCAACCCATGCAGAGGTACAAAAAAACAGTTTCACAAAGCCGACTTCGTATCTATAAAAAAGGCCTTAAAATCTATTAACTGGGATGAAAAATTTAGTTATATGACCGATGTGGAATGCATAACAAACTACTTTTATAATTCTTTGAATGATATTTTGAATAAATATGTTCCCGTTAGTAAATTCAATTGTAATTTAAAATACCCAGTGTGGTATACTAAGCCCCTTGTTAAGTTATCGAAAGAAAAATGTAAATACCTTAAAAATGGAAGGTATACGGCAACATGAGTGACTATCAAACATTTTCATTATTGAGAAGCAGATTTAAAAAAATGCAGCGTGATTGTTATAAAAATTTTATTGAACTTTCCGAAAATAAAATAAAAACACATCCTAAGTTTTTATGGTCTTTTATAAAATCGAAAAATACCACGGGCGATTTTCCTGAAAAGATGTTGTACAAAGGTAAAGTTATTTCTGGTGGTATAGATATTTGTAATGCCTTCAATGAATATTTCCATTCCGTATTTACAACCGTCAGCAATTTCAGTCACCAAGATTACCCGAGTAATCAAAGTTCACATACAACTTTAGATATAAACTTAAATGATATAAGCTTTGACTTAGTTCTTAAAGAATTACAAAAAGTTAATATCAATAAAGGCGCGGGTTCAGATTTTATTCATCCTCTTCTTATTTCGAAATGTGCAAATGAACTCGCAGTGCCGGTAACATTAATTTTCCGCACATCTGTCAAAAGTGGAGTGTTCCCCAACATATGGAAATACTCTTTAATAACTCCTATTCCAAAAAATAATAACAAAGATATAGTAACCGAGTATAGACCTATCTCGAAATTATGTGTCTTGGGGAAGGTCCTTGAGAAAATTATTACTACTTACTTATCGTTCTCTGCTCGTCAATATATATCCCAACACCAACATGGATTTTTTAAGGGCAGAAGTGTTGATACGAATATGATAACTTTCACGGAATATTTGCGAAGAGCCATGGATGACAATCTACAAGTGGATGTCGTGTACACTGATTTCTCTAAAGCCTTTGACAAAATTAACCATAGCTTACTAATAGCAAAGCTCGCAAAGGCAGGTGTACATGGCAACCTTCTTAGATGGATTGAATCATACATAAAAAATAGAAGTCAAGCTGTATGTATTAAGGGATTCACCTCGAAATTTCTACCCGTACCTTCAGGTGTTCCTCAAGGATCTCATCTTGGCCCGCTCCTGTTTTCCTTATATATTAACGATATTGGACAAACATTAAATGAGAGTCAACATCTTCTTTACGCTGATGATGCCAAAATATATAAAATTGTTAAGTCAAGAGAGGACTGTCTCAAACTGCAACAAGATTTGCTTGCTTTAGAAAAATATTGTGTTACTAATCAATTATATCTTAATACTGACAAATGTCATGTGCTATCTTTTTCACGTAAAGTCAACCAAATAAATTTCGAATATTGTCTGAATGGCACCATTCTTAAAAGGGTTACTACAACAAGAGATCTTGGCCTAATCGTAGACTCTAAATTGTCTTTTAACTCTCATATAGACCATATTATAAGTAAAGCTTTTCGAAGTTTGAGTTTTATTTTAAGAATAACAAAACCATTTAATAAGGGTATTACTCTCAAACTGTTATACTTTTCTTTTGTACGTTCGATCCTTGATTTTTGCAGCACGGTATGGAGCCCCTCTTATCAAATACATATTGAGAGGATAGAAAAAGTACAAAAAAAGTTTTTGAAATCCCTTAACTATCGTTGCTGTATTGAGAACGAATCATATAATGAAGCTTTGTGCAGACACAAAATGCTGAGTCTTTTTAACAGACGTAAAATGTTTGACATTATTTTTCTATATAAAATTCTAAATTCATTAATAGATTCACCGACTCTTTTGTCTATGTTTTCATTTCCAGCAAGCGTTCGTCTTCCAGTGCGCTCCTCACGTTCGTTACCACTATTCATTCCTCCGCGGTTTCATAAAAACTATACACGTAACTCTTATATATGTCGTTCCACCAACATGTATAACAAACATTTTTCAGAAATAGATCTTTTTAGCACTAGTTCAGATCTTCTTAAAACAAATTTAAAAAAGTTTTTGCAGTAAAATTTGTTGCCCGACTATGTTGTCTCACAATGTAAATAATATGGTTTATTAATGTATATTTATTGGCACTACTTGGTCCTTTTTTAAAGTGTTAATGTAAAATGTAAACTATATATTAAGAAATATGACTGTTTGTTGCCAAAATAAATGAAAAAAAAAAAAAAAACATCTCTACGCAGTGCCAGTGTATCGAGCCGATCAGAAAGAATGCGGTCGTCGACGATTCGAACCGCTCTACGCTGGATGTGGTCAAGTGGAAGTAGCTGGCACTGGGGTGCCTCGGCCCAGAGATGAGAACAGTATTCCATGTGGGGCCGAACTTGCGCTTTGTAAAGCTGCAAGCGATGTGCCGGCATGGAATACTGTCTCGCTCTGCTGAGCACGCCAAGCTTTTTAGAGGCCAATTTGGCCTTCTCTTCCAAGTGACCACGAAACTGCACGTCACTCGATATATCGACTCCGAGGATACCGATACTGGCTAAGGCAAGAAGGGGAGTGTCTTGAAACTGAGGAGATACGACAAAGGGGTTCTTTTTTGCGGTAAACGCGCAAACTTGTGTCTTCTGAGGATTAAACTGGACTAGATTTAGTCGCTCCCAATCCGAGACTTTGTTCAGCAAAGATTCGACTTCAGACACAAGTTTGTTCCGGTACTCGGCGACGTTTTCCCGAGAAATATTGGCACGACCGGTGTATAGCGCATCACCAGTGCTGTCGTCCGCATAGCAATGAATGTTACCAGTTAGCAACATATCAAAATCAAATCAAAAAATCAAAAAATCTTTATTCTCAAACCAGTAATACTTAAAATTAAATACATTATTGGAACACTGCTTTTAAGTTAAGAAACTTGTGTTAGAAGGCTCCGCTCTTCCCGTCTTTCATTTATATAAATTAACATATCATTGATATGCAGAAGAAACAGCGTTGGTGATAGCACACAGCCTTGTGGAACACCAGCTTAATAGGCTTGTAGTCAAAGCATGCACCGTCTACATCGATCTTGATGCTCCGATCTGCAAAGAAGCTGGTGATGCAATCGCACAATTTCTCGGAAAGCCCATAGGAAGGGAGCTTCGAAAGAAGCGCTTTGTGCCAAACCCGATCGAAGGCCTTCGCAATGTCCAGAATAACGGCCAACGCCTCCTCCTTGGACTCTACTGTCTCCGCCCATCTAGGGGTCAGGTAGACCAGAAGATCACCAGCAGATCGACCCCGACGAAAACCGTATTTGCGGTCATTAATCAGCTGGTGATCCTCAAGGTACCGGATGAGCTGGCAGTTAATAATGGAATCCATTATTTTGGAGAACAAGGAGGTGATCGCGATAGGCCTATAGAATAGAATAGAATAGAATATTTTTTATTCAATATACATTACATGTGTAATTCTTATTGAAAGTCATTTTTTACTTTACTACTGGTTCGAAAAAAACCCTCTGTCCTGGGAAGAACCAGCAAGAAACACAGCGGGACATTTTTTTAAAATAAATTTTACAATATAGATGATTACGAACTATTTACAAAATTTATTTTAGTAACTGCTTGGAAGCGATCACCTCATTCCCAGGGGTTATTATCAACCATGTATTCATTTATACTATAATAACCCTTTTTATACAGTTTCAGCTTAATAAAACATTTAAACTTGGTAATAGAGAGAACCTGTACACTTTCCGGGACCTTATTGTAATAGCGTATACATTGCCCCAAGAATGAATTACTGACTCTGTGGAGTCGAGAAACTGGTATCACTAGCTTGTGTTTGTTCCTAGTGTTTACAGAATGTATATCACTTCTTTTACTAAAACTATCTTTGTTTTTGTGAACATACATTAAATTTTCGTAAATATACTGAGAGGCCAAAGTTAATATATTAATTTCTTTAAATTTATCTCT